GTGTTTTAATCCTTAAAATATCTGCTCTGGTACCTGAGCGCCTGTGCTAACATGACAGGCAAAATTCCATCATAGATCAAATCTGTAAACAAATGATCAGATTTTGTCATAATGAAAAGGTAACAGCAATGTTCCACAGGATTAACTAGTAGGAATGGTGCTGTTGAGTGTACTAATAGTCTTGGAAAAAAATGTAAAAGTTTTAGCAGGATAAAATTGCAGATGTCAAAAACATTTTGGCTAGACAGGGATAAAAAGGCTTTGAGGATCTTGAGAAGAACTTTGAATGCCTTAAATGAGTAATCACCATGAGAATAGAGGCAATGATTATTCAATAATGCAGAGTCATGCACACTAGAAGTAACACAATTTGGTCTTTTTATGCATATCTCTAAATTTTGAATGCATTGTATCAGACAGAAACAACTAGAGAGTAACTTCAAAATTCTTTGGAAGCAATCTTAAAAGCAAAGCAAAATTTTTGATGTCTAATGAATGGTAATCAGAGTTTGATAAGGTAGAATATATTCATTATACTGTTATACAAAATGTGGTAACATCTTATCTCAAATACAGTATTAGCTCTGGTCTCCACTCCTTGAATGCTCTTTATGACACATTCTGAAGCAGCAACATGAAGAGTTGATGGAAGTAATTGAGACATGTAAAATCTATCTGACAGCGACAGCAATCATGAGAGCTTTTACGTAGAAAGAAGGGAATTCACTTACTTGTTCTATCCTAGCCACTGTTTTGCCCTAAGGTTTATTTTTTGGAGGTTAATATTTCAAGGGAACAGAGTAGAGAGATATAAGTTAAAATCCTGGCTTCATTGAGATTAGTGGGACTTTTGCAAGAGTTTGCCCCCCTTTAAAATTAAAATATGAGATGATCATTTGCAGATCAGAGTGTGCAACCATGTAATGAAGGGGTGGTGTGATTTTCCATGCAAACCTACAGCTCCTGTCTGACTCCAATCTGAAATGCAGAGCTATTAGGGACTGCTTCAGTGGAAGACAATATAGCTCTCAGGGCAAGTGATGATTTTAATTTAAAAGTGGATTCCAGTGACGAAGGATCTAATTTCTTTTGTGTAGCTTCTATCTTTTCCTTAATGACCCCAATTTCTTTCCTTACTATCAATGTAACATTGATTACTGTCCTCACTACCATGAAAGAGCAAAGGTCTGGCCCTAAATAAGGTTCAAATACTTTTTAAATGCTAAAAGATGATGATGTGGGAGCAGATAGGCCTTTCTACCTTAACATTTTCCTTACAAATACTTAACATCCCTGAATTTGTCATGGAACCATAGCTGAGAGAAGTGGACCTTTGTACCACCATTTCTCTTCTAAAATCCTCACCACTCGCTCAATGGGGAAACATTCCAGTTTTCAGGCATTCTGGGATGCTCTAAGGGATACTCCTAATCCATTCCTCTTTGCATTTCCTGATGTAGTTGGCCAGAATAAACCACAGAGTTCTGGTCTTCTTTTTAACTGGAAAAAATGTTTGTCTGTTCTATAGAATAAGTGATGTAGGTAAGTAATGCATCAGAAAATGCAGCTACTTTTTAAATTGTTAAAATGAATTACCAGGCAGTATTTTAAGTGTCTGGCATATAAGGAAATTCTAAATAGTGGCATAGAATGAACCTGCAAATTATAGGGTGGGAGGTACATGGTCAGTGCAATGCAAGCACCAAACTGAGGGATGGCAGAGTTTCTGATGTTCAGCAAATGAGATAGTGTTTTGCATCCAGCTATAAAGTATGTTGTCTGTGGATGCTTAAATGCTTGTTTATGTTTCTGCTGGTACTTGAGCACTTCCCAGGTACATGTAAATGAAACTCAGTACAGCAATTTTCAAAGTAGCCTAGTGGAGCTAAATATCCAGTTCCTACTGACTTTTCCAATGGGACTTGATTACTTAAGTGTTCTTTTTACCTTTGAAAAATCTGCCTCTTAATTATGCTAATTGGTGCTTAAAAATGTTTTCAAAGTCACAGAGCTATATCTAGATAATGCTAATTTAGAACCAGACAAGATTCATAATGCTAAATTCTGAGAAGCTCCCTTTGACTCCAAGGTATATTTATTTTTATCTTCTTCCCTGAGGGCAGAAATTAATTACACAAGTTTGCCAGAGAATCTGTTGAGAGTTCTTACCTACAGGAACCAAAAAAGTAAAAGGCATTAGTCAATCATGCTATCTCATGACTATTTCTATTGGCTAACGAAAGTTTTTACAGCCAACAGTATCTTGTATCTACCCCCAAATGGAAAAAAAATGTAGTGCTAGCAACAAAAACCTGAGAAGTATGGTTGATCTGGAAGTCATTGTAGCATTTTATACACCTTGGCTGAAAACTCATCCTATATAATTTCTTCAAAAGGTCCTGATTAGGATCATCTCTAACAGCCAAAAACCTAACATCTGCAAACCAGGGAAATAGACTTCTTGTGTTTTCACTTTATATATACTTGTGTTTTCACAGATATACATTTTCGGTTCGAAATCTCATGGTTCATTTCTAAAGAAACCTACCTAATAGCATTTATTTGTATAGTGGACATTTTTTTTTAGCAATTGTTAACAATTGACAATAATTGCCAATTGCTACTGTTGTAGCTCAGTGATAAGCCATTCATCTTGCTGATTAAGATCATTTGTCTGACCTTCAGTTCTGCCACAACACCAGGCACAGAGCACTGAACTCATCTCAAATACTGGCCAGAAATGCTTGTGAGCAACTGTAAAATACTCATATTTTATTTGGTACTTTAGTAGTAGAATTATGTTAGAAATATTAGAGGCTTGTAATGTCTGATACAACATAGGCATTATTTTTTGTACCTTACCTCTACTAGCAGTAATGCATCCTCTAGGAACAATGATGTTTCAGTAGGGTTGGCGTTTTTGCTTGATTACCTTGAACATAAAGTGTGCTGTAAAGGAGAAACAAGTTTACATATATCTATCAGTTAAAGAATGGAGTCATCCACCTTTTTTGGGTAACAATGAAAATGTATTTGTTGGAAAGTGAATCCCATAATGTTTCATATAAAGTTACAATAGCTAAACTCATTTTTTTTTTGATAGCTGAAACTGAGGTGGAGAAACTTGCAATCAGATCCAATATGACCACCAGTAACAATGAATATGAAATTCATTCAGATAACAAAAACCAGAAAAATAGGAATACGGAGGCCTTTAGAACACTCCCAGGAAAGAGATTTTATCCTAAGAGCCATTATTTCAGTATTCATACATCAGTTACAGTTATTTAAAACAACTTGTTTAATAGGTTTTAATTTTGTTGTTCTTCATACTAGAATACTTTCAAAACCTAACATTGAACTTCATAGTTGTATTTCTTTACATTAGTTTTTGATAAACTTTTTTAATATTATCTACTTTCTGCCAGGGATTTTCTGAGGTTTTTATTCTTTATTTTTAATGTGTGGGGTTACATTGCCTCACATGAGCACAGGAATAAAATCTACTATGCAAAGAGCCATATTATTGTAGGGGAAATATAGTGTAATCTCAGAAAAAGAGTAGTGCACAAAGAGAGGACTGGTATCAGTTCAGTCAGGCTTTTTTTAATTTTGTTTTTCTTTCATTTTGAATAATTAGCGGCCACAAATATTACATAGCCTTACGTGGTTAATAATTTCTTTCAAGGCAAAAATCAAGGAGATTTTCATACGCTTTCTTCTCTGTTGTTGAGGTAAACCAGCCCACTCAGTACTGCCATCCTATGACAATTACCCAGCTCTTCCAGCTTAGCTTTCTCTGTAGGAGAGCATGCAAGAGAGGGAGCCAAGGCTCAGTAAGTCTGCTGTAGATGATAAACTCTTACAGACTTTTTCCCCAGCTTAACTGGAAGTGCTGGGACAGATACTTCATATCTGCACCCTACTTTTGCAAGGATTCTGTGCAAGGGGATTTCCCCCAGTTCATAGATGGATTCATCCAAAATGAAGAAAAGGATGCTGACTGGAGTGGAAGGAGATTAAGGTTCAGGAAGTGCTCAGTCTGTCAGGTCTCAGCTTACAAAAATTGACCCTCAGCCAATTTGTCCAAAATAAATTGTTCCTGGCAGGCAGAATTTTGTTTTGACAGTTTTCCCTGGATATCCAGGGAAGATTCTTACTCTCCAACACAAAGTGCTTAACAGGAAAAACTGGGCACACAAGTTGATTTTCTTTTTTTTTTTCTTGATGTTTTTAAAACATTGTTTTTATGCAGTTCATTCTGGTGGTTTGCTTTCCTCTTGCTTATAAAGAGGAACTGCATATGTGTTCCTGGTTTGTTGCTTTGGGTTCTTTGTGGGTTTTTTTTCCTTTGGGGTTTTTAAATATCACTGAGAAAATAACTAATTTTACTTTCTCTAGCACGCATAAACTCATTTACCAAAACTAAAAGAAAGGTTAAATGAACAATTTAAAAAATACTTACTGAAGCATCTTTAGATAATTAATTCTGGTTTGTAAGTTACGTTTAGTTGTCTGAAACTTTTCTGCTGTAAAAAAGAGTAAAAAAAACTCTAAATAGGTAATTATTATTACAACAATTTAGTCTTAGAATCTCAAAAAGCTTTCCAAACACTAATTAATTGAAAGAATTAAATCAGTGTTACATTCTTGCTGCAGTGTTATTAGGTGATGATTTTTTTTCTTTTCAGTGCCTTAATGGATTTTGTGAATTACTTAATTAGACCTGTAATGTGCAATTCAAAAGCACTTGATTTCCATACAGAAATACAGTTCTTATAATAAATAATCATGCATAAAAATAAATACTCCAGAGACACAATCCTTTAAATGCTGTATAAATTCTTACAGTTCAATAAGGATTTTTATTTTTGGAATTGTGTGAAGAATTCAGAGTTTTCTAAATACAGGTGGTTTTAAGAATTGTTTTGGTTTACAGATTGTATAGTTTTCATTGAGTCAGTATTTCTTAATAATTCCTTTTATGCTTTGTTTTTCAGGTTGGCTTCATGAGCTAGGAAAACGTATTGAGTCTCCTTACTATGAGAATAATACACTAGGAGGCCCATCAATCAGAAGTGCCTATATAGCTGCCCTATATTTCACCCTCAGCAGCCTCACCAGTGTTGGGTTTGGAAATGTTTCAGCCAATACCGATGCTGAAAAGATCTTCTCCATTTGCACCATGCTGATTGGCGGTAGGTACAAATGCTAAGCATCATGTAAAACATTTTGGGGAAGTATGAACAAGTAAAATAAGAGCTGAAATATTGCTAATGTCCTTTTGAAGAAAAAAAACCTTACAACACAAAGTTTAATTTAAAATAGAAAAAGACAGAAATAACTTTGTTGGTTTTACACTAGATAAACTCTCTTCAGCTAATTATTTCTACCCTTTTGATCACTTAGGATGAAAAAAGACAGTCATCACCCAGTAAAATGCAACGCTATTTTCAGTGAGCATGGCCCAGCCATGTGCCAGGAGAGTGCCTGCACTTTTCCACTCCGTCATGTAATAGGTGCACAATCAGCTCTGATTCAATCCCCAAAGCCATAATAATGTGGATAATCGTGAGGGGAGGTGGGCAGCCCACTGGTGCATCTGGCTGTGCTCTGGTGCATTTCCACATTTGAAGGAGTAGCCCAGAGGTCCTTCAGAGGACAGCAACAGAGACAGGACAGAGCCAGGAGGACCATTTAGTGAGATGGAAGTGACTCCATCATGAATAAAAACTGGTTTAATTATCACTAAGTAAATTTTACCGTATCACTGATTCAGATTAGAATCAAAATGCAACATTTTGTTCATATCTGGAGCTCTTAGTAGTATTTTTTTTTTCTTTTAAGTCAATTACCTAGTTGTACTGATGGGGAAAGCCACATGTTCATTTATGGTCACCTTGCTTTTGCTGAGGCATCTGAGTACAACCAGTGAGCTGGTGGCACCTGTAGAGTTATATGTGTGCTATTTCATAGTGTGTGCATCATACAGCTCAAAGATATCTCAGTGGGTGTGAAGAATAAAAGCAAATCTCTCTGAGAGTAGTGCCCCCCTCACTTCTTTTCCTGTTTGCCTAATTGTTCTAGAAACACTAGTTCCAGGGCTAGTCAGTAAGGCACTGGTTGTCAGCTCTGCAGCATAAATTTTCTTTTGCAAAAATAAATTGTCAACTTGACACTTGAAAGCCAGGGAACATGATGGATGACCCAAAAACTATATATGTGCAGCATCAAGTGGTATAAAAAGTGCTTAATGAATTATTGTCACTTTTCCCAGTCCTGAAAATGAGTAGCAATAATATAATGAATCATCCAAGAGCGATATCATTTTGATTTTGACAGTGTCACAAAAAAATACAAGCAACTCATTAATTGCTTTTGCTGGTAGCATACAATTATAGTTTTAAAAGACAATTTGGTGTCTATGTTTTGGGGGTTTCACTACATAAAATCTGTTGGAATGAAGGAAGAAGTTTTCTATCACGAAATCAAGAGTTATCCTACATAAGGCAATGATGAATATTTAATTCACTTTGATATGGCAGAGCTTTAATAAACCTAATAGAGTAGAATATAAAAGTATCCCATACTTTTATTTAGTCTTATTATAGCAACTTCTTTTTCATTACTTGTATTATTGAGTGGTGGAACTAACATGCTTGTGCACTGAATAAATTGTGAAGAACTAGTAGACTGAATGTAGCACGAGGAAACTGAAAACTGAAAGGTAAAGGTACTCATAAGCAAGCAGGTAGAAGAACGACATTATGTCTGGCAGAGTCCAGTGAACAAGACATATCCAGGTGTGAAAGCAGAACAGGCTGGTTAGAAGATATTTTCTTGAGGAATTGTATTTTAGAAGCTATTTGAGAAAATCAGCAAAGCAAGTAAACATGAAGGAGGAGTTAGCATTATACAGTGCAGACTGGTTATCATGCCCCAGAAAATTTGATTAGGAATAACATACTAGTCTGTATACTTAGGACTTCGCTGTGGATGCCCAATCCCTGGCCGTCTTCAAGGACAAGCTGGATGAGGCTTTGAGCAACCTGGTCTAGTGGAAGATGTCCCTGCCCATGGCAGGGGGGTTGGAACTAGATGGTCTTTAAGGTCCCTTCCAACCCAAACCATTCTATGATTCTATGACATAAAATGTTTTCATTTCTTAAAACATAGAATCATATAATATTTTAGGCTGGAAAAGACCTTCAAGATTACCAAATCCAGCTGTTAACCTAACTTTGCCCAATCCACTACTATACCGTGTGCCTAAGTGTCTCATCCACTTGTCTTAAATACCTCCAGGGATGGTGACTCAACCACCTTCCTAGGCAGCACATTCCAATGCCTGACAACCCTTTCAGTAAAGAAATTTTTCCTAATAGCCAGTCTAAACCTCCCCTGGAACAACTTGATGCCATTTCCTCTTGTCCTATTGCTTCTTACCAGGGAAAAGAGACCAACACCGACCTTCCTGTAACCTCCTTTCAGGTAGTTTTAGAGAGCAATCAGGTCTCCCGTCAGCCTCCTCTTCTCCAGGCTGAACAACCCCAGCTCCCTCAGCCACTCCTCACAGGATTTGTGCTCCAGACCCTTCACCAGCTTCACTGACCTTCTCTGGAAACACTCCAGCACCTCAGTGTCTTTCTTGTAGTGAGGGGCCCAAAACTGAACACAGGATTTGAGGTGTGGCCTCCCTAATGTACACCTGAGTACAAGGGGACCATCACTTCCCTAGTCCTGCTGGCCACACTGTTCCTCATGCAGGTCAAGATGCCATTGGCCTTCTTGGCCACCTAGGCATACTTGCCTCATACTCAACTGTCTGTCAACCAACACCCCAGGTCCCTTCCCACTGGGCAGCTTTCCAGCCACTCATCCCCACGCCTGCAGCATTGCGGGGGGTTGTTGTGGCCCAAGTGCAGGACCCAGCACTTGGCCTTGTTGAAACTCATACAGTTGGCCTTGGCCCATCGATCCAGTCTGTCCATACCCCTCTGAAGAGGCTTTCTACCTTCTGGCAGATCAACACTCCCACACAATTTGGTGTTATCTGCAAATTTATGAGGGACCACTCAATCCCCTCTTTCACTGAAAAATATATTGAATAACAGTAATGTTGAACATTAGTATTGCGAAGATTAAAAAAAAAATCTTATTCCATACAGGGTTTCTTGGACAAAAAAGTTTACTTATTAAAATTTAACCAGAATTCCTAGGATACTTTGTATCTTTAAACTATGAATCAGGTCTGTCCTCCTGCAGATGACCTTACAGTGTGCTGTCTTGTATTCTCCATGTTCTTTGAGCAAAGAATGTACGGTTTTGTATTTATGAGACCCATTCTAGGAGCTGCAGTCCTTTCTGGGATCAGAGGTGTTCCTCTGTTCCCTAAGCAACATAAATGTGACTTAGAATATCCATTAGAATCAAAGCCACTTTAGAACATGTTTCCTAGAAGTTTTTAACTTGCCCTGCTTGTTTTTAGAGAATGGATTAATAGACTTTTAGAGATAGACTAGTTCTGTGATTATTTGATAAAGAAATCTAATGTCTTTCACAACCAGGAATGGCTTCTCATCATTAACAGCTGTTGTCTTCCAAGGTACAAATGCAAAAAGAAATTCTCCCATCATAATAAAATTCTTGCTGATATTTGTGCCTATAATAACAGAGATCTCTACACTCTCCAGCTCAACCTTGGAGCCTGTTGGGAGACTTACAGTAACACATGTGATTTTTACATATGCCTCCATACACCACCTAATGTTTTATCCCTCCCCCCCTTTTAAACTGATTTTCACATCCTTAAAGCTGCTATGCCATCTCTTTGGCCTCATTTAGCTATGTCTGGCTGAACTTTTTCAGCCCCAGCTGCCATGTTTCTATTATAATATCTAGCATTACACTAGTCCCTCACATTTTGTTTTCCAAGCTTCTGACTTGAGTGACTTCATAATTCACTGTACCATCAGGAACAATACCTAAGAATAATACCTAACAATACCTCAGAATCCAACTGATTCTTCCTAGAAATAAGTTTCCAATAATGCATAATTTTTCCTTCTAATATTCATATCTGGTCCTTTTCTTTCTGCCTTGCTTTTCAGTTATCTTCTTTTACTAACAGACTTGTACTGATTTCATCATATTATTGGATCACATCTACAACAATGTATACCGTATTGTGAAACTAAATCACACTGCAGTGCTTTCTCTGGCTTTCTGCAGTCCCTTCACAATAAAAACATAGGTATTGTTACTATCTCCTTTTTGTTTTACTCAGCCTCTAAACATTTTCAGCTCTCCAAGCTAATGAATTTTCTATCTGTTTCTACCAAGTAAAACTGTTATTAATCACCAAAATGCATCTTTTCCTACTTCTGTTCCCTCTTGTCTCTCCTCATTCACCCTGGACTTCTGTAAGTTGCTATACAAGGTCAACATCTTGTTTATAAACCAATTCCTTTGCCACTCTGAGAAGTCAGTCTGCTTTCTTTCAAGCACTGGAAAAGATAGTTGTCCCTTAACAGTAATAAACCTTTCTAATAGTTTTTTCCATAAACAATTTGTAAATGTGTATATTCTACAACTTGGATCAATACCACATGAGCGACAGTCTAACAGTGATTTTTCCCACTGATAATCAGCACGTACATTTCTGCACAGACAAGCCCAGACAACCTGTATGTGTAAGCAGTTCTTCAATTTTGCTTCTGGTCTTTTTATTCCCAAGCCAGTCTCTAATTGCAGACAAACTTCAGGATGTCAGAACTTTCTAATAAACAATTTCACAGCATATTTGACCTTCTCAAGCAACATAAGAAATCAGATTGTCAGTTTGAATGTATCTTTTTTTTTAACATGAATTTCTGCTTTACAATGTTGGGGTTTTTTTTAACACCTTATTCCCCAAAATATGATAGATCTTTATATGATGTTTGTGATCTCATTCCACTACACATTGTCCCCATTAGTAATTGGTTTTATTTATGAGTTGTCAAATCTATTACATTCTATGTAGGTCCTAACTGAAGATTTGAGTCTAGATTTCATACTGGTTAATATTTTCTCATTATTTCCTGACCATGCTTTCCTACATGTGTACATTTTGCTTTCTTCTTAGATCATAAATTTAATTTGTCTTGGGGTATTCTTTTGTTTGGTACCCTGACTAGATAGAATCAGTTGTGGTTCTGCCCTGTCACATGACTGTGACTGCTAATGACACAAAAAAGGGAAATTAATGTTCATATGAATACTAATGTATATTACTCATGGAGTCTTATACTCAAAAGTTTTACTATATCTATCAAACCAGAAACTGTTTCTCTGTGAAGATCCTGTTTATTTTCTGCTACATGTCTCCCCTAGCTCTGATGCATGCCTTGGTGTTTGGCAATGTGACTGCTATAATTCAAAGGATGTACTCCAGATGGTCCCTTTATCACACAAGAACCAAGGATCTGAAGGACTTTATACGGGTCCATCACCTGCCACAGCAGCTAAAACAAAGGATGCTTGAGTATTTCCAAACCACGTGGTCTGTCAATAATGGAATTGATTCCAATGAGGTACCCAAATCCAGAAGATTGTGTATTTGATGGTTTTGACTATTGGCTTAGGGTCAGGGGGAGAGGAGAGGATAATTTTCCCTTTGTGATGCTGTTTTGTGTGGTTATATAGAAAAAAGAACATGCCTAAAAATAAAGCTGGGTTATCCCAGGAAGGAGGAGGGTATGCTATTGAAAAATCTGATCCTCCATAATGCTGAAATACTGCAGAAGCATTCATCAGAAACTCTTTGGATGGTCCCAGCAGAAACACCCAGTGAGCAGTTTGCCTTTCACCAGACAAAAAATTCTACTGTGGGTTTTTGGGTGTTTTTTAAAGGAGAAACTCCTTTACCACCCTCTCCTCCCTCCTTCATTCTCTTTTATGCTTTGCAATCTGTAAACAAATGGTTTGGCCTGAATTTTTGTTAGTCATTTCTCTATATTTTTAAATATTGCAGAATGTACTACCAGAGTAAAATCAAAGGACAGATTCCTGGTCATGTCTCTGCTTGCTTGTTTTAAATGACTTACCCAGGTTATTTATCACTATACTCCAGAAATAATGACTTTTCTCTGCTGGAGTGTTACTTGAATGAGCCTTTCCTTTCAGAATTTTTGTTACGTATGTCATTATAAATCTCAGTGGCCTCTAAAGATAATGTGGAAATAAGCAGAAAGATTTGGGTTTGAGATCATTCTTTGATAAAGATAAATTCTTTTTGTGGTGTGCGCAGCACAAAGAATGGGATTTTCAAAAACATCCTAGCAACAGAAGAAGCCTAGTAAGATTTACAAAGGTACAACCCACTTAGATGTCAAAGCTTTCCTAGATTTGGTTAAAGATCACCTTCAGCTTCTGTACCTTCTGTACTTTCAGTTATATTGAAAGTGAGTGACTGCTGTTCTACAACATCAGCCTTTGGAGAGACCATCAATATTTCATGATTTGCTTCCCATACATAAACTGCCTCGTCTAAGCCGATTTGGTCAAGTGTTGGCTGATTGCATTGCCCAGATGACAGATCCCCTCAAACTACAGAAAAATCTATGCTTGTGTGCTTGCAGCTTGCATAGTCCAGAGCTCTGCCCATCAGCAGCCAGTATACTCTACATCAATGGGACAGGCACTTGAAACCACTTAAACATCTTTTTTGTAAAGTTCCACCTGAAATTTTTGATTATTTGAGTAATTACAGTCTTCTGAGAATGACATATATCTGAGCAGAAAGATGTTTTTCCTCAATTTTTCCATCCTGAAGCAGATCTTCTGTAGAACATATCTATATACAATTAAGTGTTGGCCAGGCTACATTGGGAAATTGTTCAAAATTAATACCAAGGAAAATAGGAAGGCCTTATGGTCTTCAGTTTTCAGACTTAAATTGTGCATTCGGTGGAATTCCTACACACAGTGTTGATGATAATTTTTTCTTGCTTTTGTATAAAGGCATATTTCTATTCATGTTTTTCCTGGAATTTATCAGTGTTTATCAGCTTTATTAAGACATATCACACATGTCTTATCAAAGGGATAAGAAAAACTGAAGAGAAATATTTGCATCAGTACACATGCAGCACTACTAAATCAGATCACTTTTGCGGAAGAGTAAAAAATTCTTTTACATTTTTTCTGTTTCATCCCTTTTTCTCCATTTTGCACAGCTTTTAAAAGACTTCCCAGACGAGCTGCGTTCAGACATCACCATGCACTTGAACAAGGAGATTTTGCAGCTTTCCCTTTTTGAGTGTGCCAGCCGTGGTTGCCTCAGGTCTCTGTCTCTGCATATCAAAACCTCCTTCTGTGCTCCTGGGGAATACCTCCTCCGGCAGGGAGATGCCCTGCAAGCGATCTACTTTGTGTGCTCAGGTTCCATGGAAGTTCTGAAGGACAGCACCGTGCTGGCGATTCTCGGTATGCTTATAATCATAGCTTCAAAGAGAAAGAAGGGTCTCCAATGTAGGAGGACCTGCAGTACCAGCTGATGTTTCAGCATGTCCTAGTACTCTGATGAGAACGACTTTGTTCAATTTCGATCTGTGTGGTGGGTTGACCCTGGCTGGAGAGCAACTACACAGCAAAACTGCTCTATAACTCTCCTCCTCAGCTGGACAGAAGAGGGGAAATAAAGGTTCGTAGGTTGAGATAAGGACAGGGAAACATCATTCACCAGTTACCATCATGGGCAAAACCAGCAGGGGTGGGGAATGAGGGTTGTGGTCAGTCCACCACACTCTGTCTCTTCCACTCCTTCCTCCTCAGGAAGAGGGATCCTCACACTCTGCCCCTGCTCCATGATGGGGTCCCTCCCAGAGGAGACAGTTCTCCACAAACAACTTCTATGTGAGCCCTTCCCAAGGGCTGCAGCTCTTCACAAACTGCTCCAGCATGGGTCCTCCATGTGCTGCAGGGACACATCCTGCTTCACCATGGGCTGCCATGGAATCTCTGCCCTGAAACCTGGAGCACCTCCTCCCACTCCTTCTTCCCTGACCTGGGTGTCTGTAGAGTTGTTCCTCTCACATATTCTCACTCCTCTGTCCAGCTGCCATTGCCCTTCTGCAGCAACTTTTTCCTCTTCATAGCACCTCTGGGATAACATGTTTACCACCATCACTGTTTGGGCTCAGGCTTGGCCAGTGGCAGGTCTGACTTAGAGCCAGATGGCATTGGCTGTGTTGGACACAGGGGAAGCTTCTGGCAGCTTCTCACAGAAACTGCCCCTGTAACTCCCTGCTACAAAAATCTTGCCATGAAAACCCAATCACCACACTCTGCCTCTTCCACTCCTTCCTCCTCAGGAAGAGGGATCCTCACACTCTGCCCCTGCTCCATGATGGGGTCCCTCCCAGAGGAGACAGTTCTCCACAAACAACTTCTATGTGAGCCCTTCCCAAGGGCTGCAGCTCTTCACAAACTGCTCCAGCATGGGTCCTCCATGTGCTGCAGGGACACATCCTGCTTCACCATGGGCTGCCATGGAATCTCTGCCCTGAAACCTGGAGCACCTCCTCCCACTCCTTCTTCCCTGACCTGGGTGTCTGTAGAGTTGTTCCTCTCACATATTCTCACTCCTCTGTCCAGCTGCCATTGCCCTTCTGCAGCAACTTTTTCCTCTTCATAGCACCTCTGGGATAACATGTTTACCACCATCACTGTTTGGGCTCAGGCTTGGCCAGTGGCAGGTCTGACTTAGAGCCAGATGGCATTGGCTGTGTTGGACACAGGGGAAGCTTCTGGCAGCTTCTCACAGAAACTGCCCCTGTAACTCCCTGCTACAAAAATCTTGCCATGAAAACCCAATACAATCTGCTATTAGACTCTGTGGACATCCCAAATTATTTTTGTTTTAATTTTCTTACTTTTTGCCCTAAGGAGCTTTCAATTGCTGAAGTGTTAGCTGTGTAATATTTCACTTTTATCCTGATTTCTTATGCTTTGCATGTAAGGAGGTACTTGCTAGCTTTTGATACAAATTGCTGCTTTCAACTAAATTTGATGACAGTATTGACACCTCAAGGATCTTGGTTCCTAAATCTTTCATGAAAATTAGTGACCAGGCAGTGTTTCAACTAACTCTCCCAAATGAAAGCAACCAATGTGAGCCTACCCTCATTCTTTGATGCATGCATATGAATACCTCTTGCAGGACAGCCATGTGGTAAAAAACAAGCATTGTTGGCTCTGCTCCCCAAAGAGTTACTTCTTCAAGCTAATTGATGCTGCCAGCAGTCATCTGAGTATATTAGAAGAGAGAAAGACCAGAAGTTCTGTTCTAATAATTTTTGTTTAATTACTGTTTGCTGGATGACTGCTTTGACTTATCTAGGCTTAAGCACCTCTACCTGTAAATTTTAGTAATTAGCCCCAATCTAATGCCTACTAAAGAGGTTTCCTTTATCTTTAACTAAAGACTAATTAGACTTGTCTGAGTTAATGTTTATAAAGTGTTTTGATAAAGTAAAATATAACATTTTACTCTAAATGTAAATAATTATTTTTATTATGAATTTAATACCTCTTTAGTTGTAAACGTATTCTTCTCTCTAATAACTTTTAATATTCTTACAAAGCAGAGTTAAAAAGGACATTTCCTTTTTTGTTTTCCTTCCTGTTTTGTGGGATTGCACTAGACTTGGTAATGTAAGCTTCTGGTCTTCTGTAATTGAATTTCCTTTCTTTTACTGCATGCAGTTGATTGGTATTTTTTTAAAATACAAATGTGACACACAACTTATTTGTTTCATAACTCTTTAATTCCATTAGATTGGCAGTTCATATCATCCCATCACTCGCTTGTAATTAGGAAGTTTTAGAATGCTTCAATCTTATTGTATCAGATAGATCAAAACTATAAAATATGACTTAGAAAAAGCATAAGCTTGATATAGCAAAAGGTCAAGAGCAGACCCCCATTGGAACTTATGATTTCATTTATGATTCCACTTTCAGGCACTTCTGAAAAATTTAATGAATGCATCATTGTGTAATAGTGACAATGAAAACAGTAAGAAAGAGATTAGTGGCTGTCTGATAGAACTTAATAAAATTGTAATGCAGAAAAACATAAACATAATGCAATAAAATGATGGCTTGGTACCATGAATGGGAGCTTCATCATTTAAACCTAATTAACACCAGCAGAATGTGAATGCATTAAATCTGTATGTCCCTATGAGAAACTGTGTTACTGATGTGATGTAAATGCAAGAAAGCAGTTTCCCTGACAATGCTGGGTTACTTACAGTTCCCAAATCACTTCTATAATTCTGTCATGATTCTAGCGGAATAGTTTTTCCTTATTGAGCTGTTCTCACTAAGAAGCCATACAGCAACAACACAATGAAGTTCTCTGATTAAACACAGCTGTTTGATTCCCCTTGAGACTGTTACTTGATATCTAATAATGACAGCAGGGATAGCTTTTATAGGAATATATTTTTTAATGTAACATCTATTTTTTGAGCATACATCTTAGATTTTTTTTTTAAAAAAATATTAGTCATAAGTGATTTAAAATATATCCATAGAGAACAAATGTATAGCTTTGACTGCATGTCCCAGATATATTAACAGATGTGTCTGCATAAACATTTATAAATAAGTTTGTTTTCCAATGAAAAAGAAAGAGCTACTAAGAATAACGGACGTGATTTGTTTATGTAACAAATGTTGATATTCAAGTTACAATCATTGCACTGCTACAGTAATTCTATATAAAACTTCAGCTTACTATCTACAGCCTTTGTTACGTGACTTTTCATTTGAAAAGAAACATAATCTTAACATTACCAGACCAATTTTTGTGTCTTTCAGGCTGACATTATTTCATCAAACCCTAAGTACAATCAAATACAACCCTAACATTTTTTCCAAATTATTTATGGATTATAAATACTAATAATGTTTATATGTCTAAAAAGTTTCAAACTAAGATATATAAAGATCAGTTTTGGTATATTTGAAATAATTTTTCCTTTGTCCATATTTAGACTGCCAGCAATAAACATTGTCAGCTCTCTGCTTAATATAATCAGAAGAAAAAAAAAAACAAAACACCTTAAGAATTGTTGATGTTTACAGTAAAATGTAAAAATTAATTCTTGCTTAGATTTACACTGTATTTGATTAAATAAGCACTACATCATGTGATGAGAAATGGCAAATGTTACTGTCATCTATCAGATGTAACTTTCCCAGGTTGACCTAAGCTAGTAGCAGTTCTAATGTACAATAATTGCAATTTTTAAGAGACCCCAAAGTAGCATTAATATATGTATATTCCTAGCATAAAAGAAAATCCCTCTCTAAACTGGGTTTATGATAAGACCTTTTAAAAAAGTTTTTCAAGATCCATGTAAATGGAAAAAAAACGGATAGTATTTTAAAGTATAAAATTATTTAAACAGCTTTAGGGGATGGTTGGTTGGTTGCTTAGTTAACTTACCCTTCAAGTTCACCATTTCAGCTGTGGAGCCCTCAATATCAGAAGGATATTGACCACTTGGAGCGAGTCCAGAGGAGGGCCACAAAGATGATCAGAGGGCTGGAGCACCTCTCCTATGATGAAAGGCTGCGAGAACTGGGCTTGTTCAGCCTGGAGAAGAGGAGGCTCCGAGGAGACCTCATTGCAGCTTTCCAGTATCTGAAGGGGGCCTACAAGGGTGCTGGGAGAGGACTTTTTACAAGGGCCTGTAGTGATAGGACAAGGAGTAATGGGTACGAATTGAAATCGAGGAGGTTTGGATTGGATATCAGGAAGAAATTCTTCACAGAGAGGGTGGTGAGGCACTGGAACAGGTTGCCCAGAGAAGCTGTGGATGCCCCATCCCTGGAAGTGTTCAAGGCCAGGCTGGATGTGGCTTTGAGCAACCTGGTCTAGTGCAAGGTGTCCCTGCCCATGGCAGGGGGGTTGGACTAGATGATCTTTAAGGTCCCTTCCAACCCTAACCCTTCTATGATTCTATGATTTCCTGTGTAATATGCAGATGAGTTCTCATGCTGACTGGATTTACAGGCTTTAGAGTCTTCACTTATTATTTATTAATCATAGAATAATATGAGATTGAAAGAGACCTCTGGAAGCCACCCAACCTAAACCTGCTTAAAGCAGGGCCAATTTATCTAAATTTCCTCAGGGCCACATCCAGGAAGTTTTGAACATCTCCAAGGACAGCAGTTCTCCCACCTCTCTGGGCAGCCTGTTCCATTGTTTGGCCAGCCTCATGGTGACTTTAATTTTCTGATTTCTATCAATCCAAATTCTAAGTAAAAGGGTCATGTGAATGGCTGATCTACATTTATTCGTGTTATTGTTAACATGCTATCTTAACACCTGTCTGTTCTAACAAAAAAAAACACACACAAAAAAACACCCACAACCCACAAGCAAGGAACATAATATCCACTTTTTGAAATATGAAATCACACCTGCTATTAATTACTAGTGTAAATCTTAATTTTATATGTATTTACTTGATAGCTCCCTTAAATCAGGTGGTTATGTCTGGAAATTAGTCTCTTTACCTTCAACTAATTACATAGTTTGCACCTGCTAAAAGACAGCTTTTATTTAAAGATACTCTAGAATTTTATTAATTAAACAATGCAGTGGTAACAACGGAATTTAAGATTTAGCAATTATGTTAAACAGATTTATGATTAAAAAAAAAGCAAAAGTAAAGAATTCGCACTTTGAAGATTATTATCTTTTTATTTTCTTTTAGGTAAAGGAGATTTAATTGGAGCAAACCTATCCATTAGGGATCAAGTTATTAAAACAAATGCCGATGTTAAAGCCCTAACGTACTGTGATCTCCAATGCATTATCCTCAAAGGTCTCTTCGAAGTGCTTGACCTTTACCCGGAGTATGCTCACAAGTTTGTTGAAGACCTACAGCATGACCTCACATACAACCTAAGAGAAGGCCATGAAAGCGATGTAAGTATCTTTAAAGGTCTCTGTTATCTTTAAGAGGTTTCTCATATTTTAGCCACTTCTAATAATTTTGTCACAGTAAAGAAATAATACAAAGATTACGTTAAAAGGAACTTTCATCCACTTTGTTTGATAATTCAGTCATTACCTACATGAATTGTCTATCAGTTGATGAGAACATAAATTGTAAATGTGTTCTCTGCTTCTCATTTTTCCATGATAACTTCACCTATGAGAGAATATTCTTCTTTAATATTTTGCCATTTTTACTTATTTTCACTATTTTTATTTATTCACAGTTACATAATATATGTGTTCAAATAAAGGTATTTAACTATACCTTATCTAGAACCTCATGTACCAGTCTAATGAATGCTCATTAGCATATAAATGCAAGCTTATAGAGACTAAAGTAGTCAGGGCATGTCATTCCTCTCTAGAAATGTCCCCAAACTTCCTGTTGCTGAAGGCAGCAGCTGCCAGAGTACACATCTGTTCTGAAAGCATGAAGATTAGTTTGTATAAACAACACGTTTTCCTTGGGGAGGAATGCTTAATCTGAAATGGAGTATAACTCCATGTAAAGATAGGGTTTGAAGCTGATTGCATTCTCCTCTCCAGTTTTGTCACAGACCTTGATGAACCTCCACGATGTGTTGCTTCATGCTTTTTTGTATGCTGACAAATCTGGGGATCACCGTATCAGTTGCATTCACATTCAGCTTTTACAAAATTAGGGACAACTCTTCCCAATTACAGTGGGCTGGGTGATGTACAGAATGCTGAGAGCAAGCCTACACCAACCTCAAAGGTGACTGCTCAGGCAGGAAAAGAATCTCCTCACACTCACTGTGGAAGATGGGACTTAAAGTAGTGCAGAACATACCAAAGGACCTTTTCTGCTTTAAAAAGGAAAATACTTGTAGAATTTGTGAATACCAACTATATTTTCATGGTTTAGCCCACAATCTAAAAATTAAAGGTTAAAAAAAAGAATTCTGACACTGAGTAGCATGCAGTGTCACCAGAATATATATAGAACCAAGACAGTTGATCATTGTGTCACTTTTTCCTACATCCTCAGGTTAACTCTGCCCTTCCACTAGTTCCCTTGCAGCAGAACTAAGCCCAGTCATGTGCATCTCATTTCTGATCGAACCACTTTACTTATCAAGTAAGGATAAAGGGCAGGAATAAGGGCCAAAAATTGCACCACCACAAAAAGAGGGCTCACTAAAATGAGGGAAGAGACACTTATGGCAGTAGCAAGGGTGCCTGGTCAACCTTTCACTTGTTCTGCTTCACCTAGACGATACCATGTCTTCATGAATATAAGTTGCATGCAGATATTGGTTATCTGATGGTTTACTCTCAGGGAATAGCAAGAAGGTTTTCAGAAGTACAATTTGTGTGTATGCCTTTTTTTTTTTTCTTTTTTTGTAATATAACAGTATTTCTTTGGAATCGTGCTAGGGGAGAGTTTGGTAGTTGTGACACTGTATCTTGCTCTCTCTCCCTGAGGGAGATTTTACTTCTGTGTGGGTCTAGGACTTCTGCGTGTGTCTAGGATTTCTGCAGCTTTATGGAAATTGAGTCTGGAGATATTTTCCATAGTTCAGCAGTAGATTGATTTATTTGAATAAGTCCTTTCCTCATTCTTTTTCCATGGATGCTTTAAATGACTGCAAATTTGCCACTGAATGGGAATTTAATGGTTTTGAAAATGGATCAGTAACAGTATTTAGGGTCAGGTGAACTGTAAGGTGAAATAACATGAATTTACACTCTAAGACTTGCCAAGTGCCTTTCAGTTCTGACCTAAAATATTACTGCATTTTCAGTCACAGTCCACCAAAACCACCTTAGATTGTAGATCTCCTGACACACTAAGTCAGCATTAAACAGGTGAGGCTGCAGAAAGATGCATTCCTGGTGATCCATTATCCCCTTCCTTGTGTTGTTTGAACTGCTCATTTCATATAAAATTGAATAAGAGTTTTGAACTGAATTAAAAGTAAGTGGACCACCACAGAGGGACAAAAGTCATCTGGGGTTTCCTGATCCTGGAGTGGCAAATTTGGATACTTAGCTCTAGATCCTGTAACAACCATACCCACACAGAAATCTCTAGGAAAACATTTAAAATTTGTTTTCTTGATTCATTTGCAAGTCTAAGAGTGTATATAATGATGCGCTCCATCTGCATTAAAAAACAAATGAGGCGTAATGGTGGAAAAAGCTCCAGGACTTCCATAGCCATGTCACTTTTCAATAAAATAAGGAGGAGCTGTAACCCGATTTCCCAGTAACAAGTAGAAACTGTAGCTATCTGGTTATAGAAAGATTGAAAGTGTTGTTTAAGAAATCTTGAAAGAAAATCTCAGGAGATTTTAACTACAGGAGCTGGCAATCGTGTAGCTATTTCAGCCTTTAATGAGTAATGGATAGAGAAACAGAAAGTCACAAAACGAGGGAGATAAAGTTTCAATGGTTCCTCATGATATCTCTAAACCCAGAAATTTTTAAGTGATTTATTATTATAACCATTAATGGGTGTGCAATCACACTGGGTATTATGCCATCCTTCTATATATTCCCATCACAGACAGATGCTAATTAAGTAAAAAGTCTTTGCATTGATTATATATATTCCGTCCTTTGCTTGCTTTGCTGAATTTTTCTTGAGAAACTGTTTTTGTAAGTGTGCTAAATGATTTCAGGACAGTTAGGAAAATCTGTTTGGTAGCTGGAGTTGGGACATTAAAACAATTCAGCCATTCAGGTGTTTCAATCAATTTTTCTAGGTCTGTGACCATGATGTCATAGTCATTAAATAGTTCACTAAATGACACAGATTATGACAGAGGGCTGTATCCAGAGAAGTGTGGCCAGCAGGTCAGGGGAGAGGGTTCTCCCTCGCTATTCTGCACTCATGAGACTCCACCTGGAGTACTGCATCCAGCTCTGGAGCCCTCAGCACAGAAAAGACATGGACCTGTTGGAGTGAGTCCAGATGAGGGCCACAAAAATTATCACAGAACTGGAATACATCTCCCATGAAAAAAGGCTGAGACCATTGGGATTGTTCAGCCTGAAGAAGGCTCCTTATTGCAGCCTTCAGTACTTAAAAGGGGCTTGTAAGAAAGACAGGGACAAACTGTTTAGCAGGTCATGTTGCAGTAATGGTTTTAAACTAAAAGAGAGTAGATTCAGACTAGGTGTAAGGAAGTCATTTTTTACAATGAGGGTGGTGAAACACTACAACAGGTCTCCCTGAGAGATGGTAGGTACTCTACTCCTGGAACCAGTCAAGGTCAGGTTGGATGGGGCTCTGGGCAACCTGATCTAGTTGAAGATGTCCCTGATCATGGCAGGGGGGTTGGACCAGATGACCTTTAAAAGTCCCTTCCAACCCAAACTGTTCTATGATTCTATATATTTAGAGAGCAGTAACAGATGTTCATAACTCAATAATCCTATGAGAAACTCAGAACAGGTAAATATTTGCACAGGATCTTTGTGGGCTTTTTAAGAGTTTATTGTTTCTGATTATTTCTTGTGTCTATGCAGAAGCGTCTATAGTGTAGACAACATTATTCATCAAAAAAACCTAAAGGCTGGTTACAGCCAGATTGATACAAAGAATAAGAGGCCTCTTTGGCACCTGTGCCATCCCTCAAGGTGTAATGAAGTCCCAAAGTAAGATAAGACCCATGCAGGCACAATCTTTGACTCACTAGAACACTATCAATATGTGTCATTTTTAAAAAGAAAAGTTTATATTCCTGAAGATTCAAAAGTCTGTCTTTGCAGACAGGACTCGCAGTTAATAAGAATCTACATTTCCTTTTGTAGCCTTAAAAGTAGTGTTCTGCCTCTTGCTAGAGCTTCCATTCCCCCTTCCCTCAAAGGAGGAGAAGCTACTCTTTTTAAAATGAAAATAGTCTCTGAAGCAGGGGAAGAACTGTTTCCTTCAGTGAATCCACAGTGTAAGTGAAACATAATGACACAGATTGCACGAGAAAAGTGGTTAGATTCTTCCTCCAGTTGAGAACATTGAGATTCTGCCCACTGCACCTTAGCCAGGCTCCTTGATAATAAAATAAATAAATAGACAAATAAATTCTAAAAGACAACAGAGAAGCTCTTTTCACCCCCCACCCCACCCCTCCCAAGAAAGGCACTATCTGGCAAAACAGGACTTAATTCTTGTCCTTTGGAGAGGCTGGTGTTTAGAATTTATTAATTTTAATTATTGAGTTGGGGTTTTTAATATAATAAAGCTCAGGTTGCTATTAACAATACCAAACAAATTACAAGGGATGTTCCTTGTTTTCTACTGGGAAACCTGACAACTGGCCAAAACAATTGTTCTTAAAGGTGAAAACAGCTCTAAGCTCTGTATCATACAACAGAGGGCACAGATGGGGAAGAAAAGTGTCTACAAATTCTAATCTAAAATATGCTGAGTTTTCTGGTTCATTTCAGCTAAGCATTAAAGAAGTATTTCAAGAGCATATATGTAATTCTACCTTATTTCTTTTTAAGTGGTTTAATTCTAGACTTTTACCTTTCTTTCTGCCAACTGGTGGTATAGCTCTTGTAGGCAGAAAAAAGAAAAGCACAAAATTCAGTTGAAAGCCTGCCTAGTCACGGTTTTTCAGCTAGTACATTATGTATTTGACATACATTCTTTCTTGCCTCTTTACTCATGTTTTTTCTAGATATTGTAATATAGGACTGTGCTTTCCAATACAGTGATAAATCAGAAGGAATTTTTTCTGTTACATATTTGATTGCCTATTATGGATCAGCAATGGAAACAGCATGACAGTTCTGATTTTTAATGTGTCTTTATTGTTTGCATAATAAATAGTATCTTGCCTTAAAAAAAAAAAAAGATATCCTGTTTAAAATTTTATTTATATTAAGGAAAAATAAGTGTGTTTGGTTTTTAAGTAGCCACTTTTAATTTTGGCAATTGCTGCAAGATAAGAAAACCT